TATGGACAAAACGGTGTATAAAAGAAAGGCTTCTCCTCCCTAGAAGAAGCCCATCAGCTCTAACAGGTCAAGTATCCATTACAGCTCCAGGGTGTTTTATTTTCCTCTCAAAAACAATGCTACAAGATAAAAGGTAAGCAGTACATCATGTTGAGCGCACATGCACATGCTTATGTCTACTATAACAGCTTTTTTTTGTCTTTAACAATCCTTCTCAGACTGAGAAAGGGACTCAGTGGTAATGTGGTTAACAGGATATAGGATGCATGCAGAAAATTCACAATAATTAACATTGGTAACAACCATCACTTCCAGCAAACATTTAAGTCTGTCCATTTTAAAATAACCTACAGTTTTAAAACCAATTCCTTACTGGTTTTGTCATTGAAGACTAGTGTCCATTGACAACCTCTGTTTTAGCTAGCAGCTCATAAGCTGCCTGGGGATGCGCTAGTCATGGCTCTGTTGCTATGCGACCACTAAAAACCTGTTTGAAGGGCATCTCTCCAGTTCAAATGTTTTTAACTTTGAGTGTTTAGAGCACCAAGCAAGCTCAGCTCACTCTAAATTCAACAACAAAAGATTGAGAAGACAGTGCTTCAGAGGAAGGTCTCTTCCTAACCGGCCTTCAATTTTCTTTTTTATTGTCCTTTACTTTTTTTTCTTCTTTTAGAGGACTTAAATATCTTACCTCCATTAGGCACAATCTGGAAAAAATAAGGGGAGGCAGTAAGAGATAGCCCGCCATCCTTTCCCAGCCCATTTAACCTTTTAATTTAGCAGCAGGAATTAATGTGGTGGGCTGGGTCAGTATCACTTTAAACAGACGCTACCCGTGTGCCCCGAAGGCACGAAGAATGACAGTGGTGCATATGTATATATTTCTGTTAATGTGTGTGTGTGTGTGTGAGAGAGAGAATGTGTTTGTGCGCATTTACGCTGTACTCATGCAAGCTGTTATTAACGGAGCTGTCACATCAGTCCTACCTCGGGTGCTGTCACTCTCATTTTAGCACCATGTGACATTACAGTGAGGTCAAGAAAAGAGAGACTGGCAGCGGAAAGGAAGGTGAGGAAAGTCGAAAAGACACCATCATCACGACTGGCAAGGTGGGTGATGTAAGGCAAGTGGTGAGTAACGATGCACCCTGAATTCAGGTCAGTGCTCTTAGCTGAATTTTACGAAGGAAGCAAGCAAACGGGGAGATGGTGATGGAGTTGGAAGAATTCCTGTTTAGCCCTGAGTCACAGCAGCAAAAATATTTCAAGCTGTTGTTTCAAAATAGCATAAACACAAGCAAGCACCTCACAACGTTGCCATGCTGAACACACGTCCCTGTATTCCATTTAATCCACTCCTGTCTCCATGATAAGAGTGGCAATGGAGAGAGAGAGAGAGTCAGGAAAAAAGGAGCAATGCTCCCTGGCCTCTAGAATGACAGAATGGCACTTTTATGATGTCTCCCAGATTATTCCCCGAGATGGATGGGCTGAGTTGGAACACCAATTGATTAATCCATCGACTGACGGAATGTGCTGCGGCCGTCCCCCTGCTCAGCTGTTCTTTCCCTGGACAGAACATTCAGCCAGACATGCCGGAGAGGATGACTAATGAGTGGGGCTACTGCAGACACCATTCATGTCTGTCTGTGTGCTGCGCTCAAGATGCTTGCTCGTGTCTTGTTGATAGACTAGATTATATTATAAAAGCAACACACAGTCATACAGTTCCAGATAATCATCCACAGTGGTGTAGCAGATTCAAAGCTCCCCTTTTTCTTGGTAAAGACTATATCTGGATGCTGTTGTGATATGTGAGCTTGCAGTGACAAAACAGTGACAAATTGCTACATTTTTTACAGCCAACCTATCTGACCACAACACTCTCTACAAAGCAGTGCAATGCGTCATCTACCAGCAGCACAGTTTAAAATAACTGAGGTGGGTTTTTATCACCTTCACAATAGCTTGCCTGTGATGCAGACTTGTAACACAATGTGTCAGTGACCATCATGTTAGAGCCTACTCACTGTTGGCTTATGAAAGCATCTTCCAAACGTCAATTCCTTTTAAGGTGACTCTCTTCTTGCCTACCTCTGCAACTATGCATGATTAATCACCACAAGACTGACCTCATGTATAAAAGCAGCAATCATCAGCCATGATGCACTTCACAAAGCTTCAACCTACATCACTGCCGCTTCTGCCCTGACCTCAAAACCTTGACACTTTTATATTTTGTTCTTCACTGAGAGCTGACTAACTTGTGACAATGATGTGAAGCTGGGTGAAAGATGGATAACATTAGGAATTTATAGTTTTTTCTTTGTTTTATTTTGCAAAATATACACGAACTTTGTCAGTGAACTAGATTTGAAACCTTTGCCACAGTGCTTTAACCTCGTGTCACTTTAAATATTCAAGGGACATGAATTATGCCAATAAGGACACATTAATTTGTACATTAACCTTTGCTAATTCCAACATAAATATGCACTGCGGTCTTTTGTAGGAGGTCAAATCCAACACATTGAATAGTTGAATGTAAGTCTGTGAACAAATGTACAATACTTATACATACATACACATAATACATAATTAATGCCAATATATATATATATATATATATATATATATATATATATATATATTGTGATGTGCTCTGAATTTGGTGTATGTGGACGCTGTCATCCTAATCTTCTAATAAAGGCTTTTTTCACCTAGAGCATTAAGGCTTTCAGCTCCTATCTACTTCAGACCCCCTGCATTGCACTGCTGGTTACCAATACAATAGGCAAGGGAGCAGATAACGGATCACTGTAACTTCTCCTTTTCTCGTTGAATCCAAACCCCCTGAGAGGTTTTATGCCCAGAGAAGATGAAAAATGTAGAGGTAGCTCCATTATTGATACAAGTCCCCAGCAGTGAAAGAAATGAATGCTAATGGTGTCCTAAGCCCGGCTTTACAGAGATTAATCCGATTTGAGAAATGAACATTTTATTACATGGCACAAAGTGCTGGCCCTGATCTGAACTGAGTCACAGGCTGAGGAGGAAAAAAATGACAAAGGGAGTGTGGGAAGGGAACATGGGTATACAGGCCTGTCGTTTTGCAAGACCCTGGCACCTCATTGCAGTAGTGCCCTTTTCCAGCTGACAAGTTCATTAATTTTCTGACACGGCTGCTTGGAATGATTTTCAATAGATAAGTCAGACAACAATGGCTGGAAGAATTGGATATAAAATAGATGTCTATGGTAGCAACATTATCAGTTGAAGACTGGCTTTGTGTGAGCAGCAGGAAGTCCCTCTTGGTCCCTCTGCTGCACCTGCTCTAACACTGTTTCCCACTGCTTAGAAGGACTAATAGGGACACACTGGGGATACAGCTGTTGTCAGTATAGCATACTGAAAATAAACAAACACTGATCCACATCCATCTCCAAGAAAATCACCACAGGGATGAAAAGGTTTGAGAAGTGTTAAATAGGGAGGAGGAGGAACAGTCTTTCTACTTATTACTATGAATCACTCTGCAGCAGTTGCCAACAAACAACTGCAATCTTGGGAATATGTAGGGAGGATTTATCACGCCAAAGCCTCTGACAGGGCAAAAACATAAAATCAGACATCTAATTTGTCTCCCCAAGGTGATGTCACTCCATCATATGGGTGGGCTTTCCTTTCAGTGGGTGAATAATGTTCGCCTTGTTTCTCACTCTCACAGGTGAGAGATGCAATTTATTCTTTGTCTGAAGAGTGACAGCTCACCTCTATTTATGCTTTTACCACCAACCCTGGTTTATCACCAACATGACAGACATCTATTTTTAAGCTCACAAAAGCACTGATATGAAAAATGGAACATGTGTTTGTAGCCTGCTAACCTTTGTTCAGGGGGATGCTCATTCTAAAATCTTATTTAATTCAGAGGATAAGAGGCTATAGATAGATAAAATTCATGGGTAGCATAAGGGGGCATAATGATATATAACGCAGCCACATATGCCATATGTATTTATGCATTTAGGTTTGCTCTACACAGAAATGTAACTCATAGAATTGTGTTTTGCAATTCATCCTGATACAATTACACCTCACTTTTTAACTTCTCTTACATCACAGACATAAATGCTCCAATGTCTCATCTGTTGCTTCGTTGCATACTGGTAGAGGATTATATTGAGCAGACCAGTGGCTCAGCTTTTCGAGCCATGAACTACAACATGCCATGCCTTCTCCAGCTGAGCAGAGGCAGAGCAAAGACGGCAGATATTAATTTCAGCACCACATAAGAAGGACAGCTCCCTCCCAGGCTACTACAAAGGCGCCTTCTGGGTGAAAACAAGAATTTGAAGAAGATGGAGAAAGCAGACCACTGTCTAACAGTCTAAATCCAACAATATTTGATATAAACCATCATTTTTTTCCCTCAAAGGTTACTATAGCATACATAAATATGGCAGCTTTTGAACTAAATGTAGATGTAGGCTGAGAGCATGCAGGTGTAGATTGGATGGATGGATTGCAGTTGCCTTGTCATTCAGCATGTCACAACGTGAAAACGGAGAACCACACACACGTCTTACACTTCCTTTATCAAACATTTCTCTCGCTCTGTTTTCTAGAAAAGCTTAACTCTTTTTCCATACTGCTCATGACATCTAAGCTCGATGCTCGCGCACTCAAGGGCGCGCAGTGAAAGCCAGCAGACCCACACGAGTGCGCGCGTCTTATCCTTATCTTCCAAAATCAGCGCGTGATTAGAGATCTTTTAGTTAGAGGCCGCAGCGTCAGTGAGGGTATGAGCCTTTGGGAATGCTGTGCCCTGATTTGGTTCATATCACTGCAGTCATCAAAAGAAGAAGAGAAACTACCACATTTGGACAGAAAGAAAATCAGGGAGAAGGCTGAATGGGGTAGTTGTGCCGTAGGGACGTGTGGGGCAATCAGACCAACATATTTATTTTTATTTTTTTACACCACAAACACTAACTTACTTGTTCACAAAGACGCGGAGGTCTGTCTGCAGGATCTCTCTGCTTTAGACGGAGAACGGTCCTTCTTCCGCTCCCTCCCTAAAAACTGCATCGAAAAAAACATCCGCAATTCTCAGGCGATTTTGCAGAATCCGTGGTGATATTTTCTTGTCAGACACATTGTGCTCCTACCTTCAAAGCGAGGTGGTATGTAATCCACATATCAGTCTGGATGACATGCTTTTTACTCTCACAGTGATGATAATGCATCCGATATTTCCTCTTTTTTTTCAGGACGCACAGAACGCGGAGGCACCCACAAGTACCATTGTTGAAACTACTCTCCGATGCAAAGCGATACCCACTGTGGTCCCAGATTTTCTCCAAATGATGAGTTAGTCAAGCGTGAAGTGACATTGTTTTTTTATTTTTATTTTTTGAAATCTTAAATGAAATCTTTAAAAAAAAAAAAAGAAGTATCCTCTCCACAGCTTGTAGAGCGCGGAGAACCTCGTGTGGTCAATTTCCAGGTAGATACATCCTGAAAAGCCAGTGATTAGACTGCATGACAGACCATCATCCATACATTGAGGGGGCAGAGGTGGGGTTATTTTAGCGTCCCGCTCTCTATCGTTTCCAAATGTAACTTTTCTTCAAGTCCCTATATTACTTCTTAGTCATCAACCCTCCTGAATCTGATTAGATTTCACCTCACAGCCCAGTGCGGATTTCAAGATGCTTATTTATTTTTTTCCTCCTGGTTATGTCGGTGAAAGAAGTCCCGCAGTTTAGTGACTGAATATGTATCCTACACATGGGAGAATTGATAAAGTTGCCGAGATTAAACAATACCTCTCTTTTCTCTTCAGGTTGCTCCGTTTTCCATTTTCGAGAGGAAACATGCGTTAATCTGGGGTGCAACATCGAAAAAAACAGAGAAGGAAATTCCAGCAGGTATCCTCAAGAAGCCTTTAAAACCCCATCAGAAATGCAGGTTTCGAGCGCGATGAGCCTTCCTTGTACCACCAGAAGCTAAATTCTTACACGATTTCCGCGCCGAGCCTTGATTCGCCCAGTCTGGACGGGAGTTATAGTTCACCAAAGGCAGTCATCACTTCCGCGCCCTCGTTCCATCCATGTGTGCATTTCGCCTATTCAAGCCTCGCCTATTGACATGACATACACGGGGATAAGGAATTGTTAAAGGGTTATTATCCACAGAGTCCGAGCCCCGTCTTCTCCTCTCCTGTCGACTGCAGTGTGTTTTAAGCTGCTTCAAATGTGATCACAAATTACCTCGTTCCAATGCGCGCACTCAGGCTGTATCCATCAGTGCGCTTTACTGTGCCTCAATGCGCTCGGCATTTACGTACCGAAATAAAACGCACGGCGCAGCACGGACAGACACTGAATTGATAAGTGCAGGAAGGAAGGGGAGAGGGAGGGGGAAGGGGGGGGCATCATGTAGGTTACCTCCCACTGACAAGCTGTTCTCTCCAAGTGGGACTGTTCGCCTGTAACTGCTGGTGGATCGGCAGCCGCAGGACTGTAGCAGCAAGGGCAGGAAATACTGTTTCCCCTCTCTCTCTCTCTCTCTCTCCCAGACTTCACATTTCTCTTTTTGAACTTCGAGGGCTCCCAAAATGATTTCCAATGCAGGAAGCCCGTGCACCAAATCTCTGGAAGACTGGCATTAATTAATATATTCTCGACCTTTGTCCTTCTCATTCATTGGTCAGTTTTAATAGGAGCAAGCATTTGCAAGTTCTTGTTTAAGCGCACCAATTTGTGTGCGTCTAGTGTGCGAGAGGTTTAGATAGACAGGGGAGACAGAAAGAGAGAGAGAGAGAGAGAGAGAGAGAGAGAGAGAGAGTTATCCCATGTGTCTCGTGCAAATGGGACACGACTGCCACCTACCGACTCCCCCCAGCCTGTTTGCTCTATGTGATAGTGGCCTCAGGCTGATTGTCGCATAGGATTGCTCTCCCATGACACATACCGTGGTGTGTTTAAATAGATTTATATATATATATATATATATATATATATATATATATATACATACATATCTATTTGTATTTTGAAACGCTGTAGGGTACAATATGAGACACAGTCCTACAAAATTGTTTATGGTGAGGAGAACAGCAGCCATATAGCCACAGAATGGAGAAAGTGTAAAGCACATGAGGGGGGTACTGTGACAAATCAGAAAGCAGTTTAATATAAGAGTTTTAATCTCTCTCAGGCTTCAGCGTTTATAAACGCAGGCTTTTGTGTTATGAATTATGAAATAGGCCTACACGTTGCAGATTTTTTTGCATGGTGGCTGACACAGGAGACTTCAGGTCTTCAGAGAGAGATTATTGCTTGTGAAACGCTTATCTGAGGCAACCTGCTGTACGGCACATATTATGCTAAAGTCAGTCATATTCCACAACGTGCATAGTGGAACAAAAAAAAAAAGGATGGATCTGCAGTTAGAGTGAGAACATCGTCTCATCTGGGAAGAGTATACATTCACAGACCATTTAATAGCAGATGTGAGAAAACATTTGAATGCCAGACCAGGGATCTGTCCATCCCGCTGTCAACATCTGATCTCATTTCCCTCAGTGCTGAAGGCGTTGCATCATTCATCTGTCTTCATAACTGTCGACCTGCCTGTCTGTGTGTCTGGCATATGGTGGTAAAGAGCACCGCCCTCTTGCTTTCCAGTCGAAGGAGACATCATTAAATAACTCAGTTCTTTCACTCCATTCTTCTTGCCTCCCATTTTCCTCAGCTCTGGCCAAGCGAGCAAATGAAAGCTATTAACGTGCAAACCCTCTTTGCTCTTCAAGATATAGCGCAGCAGTGTTTTTGTATAATACCCTTTGAATCTACAACGTTTCCATTCCATTCACATGTAACTGCTGGGGTGTCTTCTGAGTGCTCTTTTCTATAATTTGTGTCATGTTACTGTATGACAGCCTTGCCTAATGGTTTTGATTTAAAGCTTTTAGTTTTCCACCAGATGAGAGTCTGTGGATCTCTGGTGACCACTACTTACTACTTTACCTCTTATTTGCTGTGTGAGAACCATCTTGATTTATGTAGCTTTTTAGACCACAGAGTCTTCTTTGCTGGTGGAAACGCACCCTCAAAGTAAAGCTTTTGTGATACACAGATACTGTTGTTCCCATTATCTGTCTCCATATTCATGTGTTAATTGTAAAATGCCTTATTCAGCATCTTCTTAGCCAGCATGACACATGAATTTACGGTTTTACTGATGTCAACAGAGGTCCTAAACACTATGGAAACATCATAGTAAAGATCACTCTGTCCTTGGAGGATGTTAAAGAGTGCGCTGCCATTGTAAACAATGTGACCTTGTTCCTTGAAAGGTTAAGACACATACAAGACTCATGAGAGCAGTTACTTCTGGAGTGGCAAGGGCAAGTAAAAAAACCTTACTTAAGGGAGTGATTCAGTATGGATTATTGGTTATGCTTTCAGCATCCTCGTAAAAATGAAGATTGCTCAACATTTTCAATGAAGTGAGTTACAGACGCAGTGGTAGTGTAGGCTTTAAAGTGATTATATTTACCACCATGCTCTTTATTATCTACGGATACCACCCCCCAAAAAAAGCTGGTGTTGTGATAGAAAAAAGGAAAAAAACAGTCAAGTACCACTCAGAGACAGCTTAAGGCACACAGATTTGTTTCTCTCCCGGAGAGTATTTTGTCAAGGCCTGAATAATGCATATACGGGATGCAATTAGATAATGTAATAATCATGTTGGGTATGCCATGTAGGAATATACATACATATAGCATGCGTTTATCCAAACATAAGGCGTTATGAGCATAACCACAAAGCTCCTTGTAATGCAAGTTTTATGATGACAGTGACGCCATGTTGTGTGGGATATACATAAAATATACAATTTTGGCGATGTGCTCTGATCCACAGATGTCAAATTGAACTGAGAAATTATTTTCACACTTTAAAATCTGCATCTTAATAATTGAGGTTTGTTATTCTCAGAATTTCATTTTTATTTTGATAAACACACATTATAATACTCCTCCCTCTGTCTCATGTTCTTCACAAAAATACTCTTGAATCTACCTGCTCAGAGACTGAGTGAAAAGGGGGTAACTGTGGCACCTACAGTACAGCTGCCCCTTTTAAAGGATGCTCTGAATGCATTAATAATGTGTGTTATTTATTTTGAGATCTGGCATTCATTATTCATGATGTTGTTTTGGAGGGTATGAGACATCACTGCTGATATCCTGCAAGGCTCAGAGGCAATGAAATAATGTAGTCAGGTGTGTTGTGAGAGGTAAGATGGAGAAAGCAACTCAGTACGCCTGTGAATGTGTCACACGTCACTCACTTCCATTCTGCTCCATCAGTCTTAGTGCCACCTCAGGTTGTGCAGCATAGGAAGCTTGTCTTTCTCTGTCTAATGTTTGATATCCCTCTTTGCTTTTCCCTGTTTCCACTGTCCTCGCCGCAATTGCATATTTCAACCACGGAATTAGTTTATCACACAGAGTCAATGAGAGAAATTCCACAAACACCTCAGTGGTGACATCGCTGAGATTCAAAGCAATTCATCAAATTTCACAGACTTGATAATTAGGTGCATCAATGTGTTTGCCATCCTATTTAATCTCCACTTTGATCCGCACTAATCTCTAACTGTACTTCTTATCCAAGGCTTCCTTTGGCCCATAGGGCTCGTGATTGAAGAATGAATTCTAAGTTTCCATTCTGGGCCACTTTTGGCTCAGGTTCTAGATTCACCAATGTATCCGGGGTAAATTAAAATAATTCAAAGCATGCTTCACCCTAATAACACTCTCTAAGCCGCTTCAACTGCATAATATAATAGTGAAGGAGACTGGATGACTGGCTTAGTTATTAGATATTGGCTGCAGCTCAAAGCAGTATCAAGAGATGAGAAGGCCCACACTCACTGAAGGATGAATCACTTCATGATCATTATATAATCGGTATATTACTTATCATATCATGGAGCATCATCATCATCTATCAGTGGTGTCCTTTAACATGTTAACTCAAATTAACATTATTAACACATAAACACTCGAAATGTTATAAATCATCAAATGGTATCATTTCCAACTGGATCCGTATCCGCCTGGTTAAGCCTACTTAAAAAAAATAAAAAGAAATATATATATATTTGACATTAAATGGAGTTGGATTTGCACTTATTGCGCTTTCTAGTCTTACAACCACTCAAAGCACTTTACACTACATGTCACATTTTCACCAATTCACCCACACACACATTAATACACTGATAGCAGAGGCTGCCATGCAAATGGCAATCTTGAATAATTGAAAAATTAACTGTCTAGAAAAACAAATTCCTTCTAATTAATGCAGGAGGAAATTTCAATTTCTGTTTTGCCTCTAAATTAGAATAATGCTTATCTAAATTTCAATTAAAACAAACAGCCTGACTTTACAGCATTTACACCTTCGCTCAAAAATCCCCCTCCAGTGATTTTTTTTTTCACATCAAGAGACTTGAGAAATGTATAAAACCATCTACTTTTAGGGCGTATATTTCAAAGGATATGTGTTTTGTTTAGGTTTTTGTATTTAAACTTCAAAAAGTATTTGCTGTTGAATTCTCATTTTGAGATTTTATTAAGTGACATTTTTATTCAAGCATACTTCCAATGAAGAAGGTCTGCATAAATACAGAGGGCTCTCTCCCACCGTCCCTGATTTTGAGAGGTGTAATTAAAATTGCACTGAGCCCTGGTTCTATACAACAAAAAGGATAAAAATGTCACTTAATAAAATCTCAAAATGAGAATTCAACAGCAAATACTTTTTGAAGTTTAAATACAAAAACCTAAACAAAACACATATCCTTTGAAATATACGCCCTAAAAGTAGATGGTTTTATACATTTCTCAAGTCTCTTGATGTGAAAAAAAAATCACTGGAGGGGGATTTTTGAGCGAAGGTGTAAATGCTGTAAAGTCAGGCTGTTTGTTTTAATTGAAATTTAGATAAGCATTATTCTAATTTAGAGGCAAAACAGAAATTGAAATTTCCTCCTGCATTAATTAGAAGGAATTTGTTTTTCTAGACAGTTAATTTTTCAAATTATTTTTAATGGGACGAATGTGCTGTTTTAACCATATTGATCCACCAGTTCCCAAAAAGAGAAAAACATAAGACATAAAGCCATTTGACCTTAACAAGGCTCAAAGCCCATGGCCGAAATGTTCTGACAGCGAAAAAGTTGCCTGACATACTACCAATTCAAAACTGCCATAATGTTTGGCAATATGGTAAAATACACCCTGACCAAATATGGTCTGACAAACTTTCAGGAGTTTGCACACATTAATGTGAGGTTTTGGTTGCTGAAATGCGTGGGCATTAAGAAATTATGTATTCCTTTCAGGCTGAGTGCAACTTCTTTTGTGAGTCATGACTAAGTGCAAGTATCAAAATTTTGTGATGCAAAGATGATGTAGGCAGCTGAAATATGCTGTGTAAAATTTGATGGAGAGAAAAAATTATATTGGTGCTACAAAGCATGATGAAATGTGGTTGACTAGAAATTTAGGGTCCATCCAAAATATTAATCTGAATGTCGAGAGTTTAGCAAGACTGATGTCTTCCTTCAGTTGAGCGCCATGGTGAAAGGATTTTGTTTTTCAAATCTGTAGGATACAATCCCATGGTCAGTGAGTCCATTTACAGAAAGGTGTGTGCAAAAAATATATGTTTGGGAGGGTAACTTCTACGAGT